TAAATTAATTTTTTATTTATAATAATAATTATAATGAGTTGTTTGTATCTTTTTGAAAAAATAAAGAATCGCTAACGTTTAGGCGCAAGACATGGCAATTACTTTTGTCACGCCTCAAAAACCCAATTTCGTGGTGCGACAGACGCCGTGCACTCGTGAGAGGGTCCCACAAATGCACAAGACTCGGAACTTATCTAATTCACAATCTGATATCATCAAAATCTGAAGATCAAAATTTATAATTTGCTATAATATCATAAATCTCCAATAAAGTCGAGTTTACAAAATCATGGTTTATTTCTAAAATCTATATCAATCTCAAAATGACTAGCTTTCTAACTCGTCACTTCTCGTGGTTTCCCCGTCCTCAATTTCACTTCTTGAAATGGTGGACAAGGAAAAACTATGAGATAAAATATCTCAGTAAGTAAATATGGAGTGCCCTTACTAAACTTATAGCATGCCAACAAGTGCAATCACGAAAGACGGATACAGTACGAGAACAAAATGGACGTCTCCTCTATAGTTCATGGCCAGTGTATAATCCCCACTAGCAAGGTCACTATTTGTTGGTGTATAACCCCCACTAGCAGGGTTGAACGAACCGGCTCTATCACTAACATGTCGACATGTGCTAGCGTATAATCCCCACTAGCAGAGTCACTAATAACATAACCACATCGGAGACAAAACAGATAGAAGTTAACAAATAAATCATAATTCACCAATCACTTTCAAATCATCAGGACAATCAATTAAATTTCAAGTAGGCATGCTCAATTTAATGAAAAGCATAAACATTTCATTTCAATCGATCATACTTGTGTAAAACGGGTTTAGTCCCGCCACCACTTCAAAAACAAATCAAAACATGCTTTTAAAAATGTACGGGCATTACCATAAATTTACTCACCTCACTCGCATAAAACCGAACACTCGATCTCAATGCTAATTGACAAAACAATCGGAAACCTAATCAAAACACCTCAGAATTAATTATCGTACTACTATAAATTCACACTGAAAACTTCATTAGGATTACCCTTAATCACGATATTATTCCTATCAATCTCCACATTATCAAATATCTCCAAATTCGTTCTTATATCACAAACTAATCATTTAAATCCCCGTTAATTGTTGACCCTCGGTGTGTGAACAGTAATTTATGAACAGTGTCGTAAACAGTGCCCCGTGAACAGTACCCACGACGTGAACAGTAACTCCAACCTCCAAAAACTGGCCAAAACACTAGCTAATTCACAGGATTTTCTCCAAAATTATCACAGCAATCAATTAAGACTCAATCACATAAATCTCACTTCAATTAAGCTAAATCATGGTCCTAAAGCTACCGGAATTATCCCCTATTTTAGCAAACATTCGGACAGCTTATGGGGCAGTAATTAACTAATAAAATTTCGGGCTTGGAGCTGTCAACATACCAGATTTCCCAGCAGGGACCGAAGCTGCAGATTGGGGGAAGAGCCGGCGGCAGTGCAGGGACAATCACGCAATCCACCCAAAAATTGGAGAAACCAAAGGGGAATTAGAGTAACCCAACTTAAATCAAAGCTAAAAGGATGAAATCATGGCTGTTTCTTACCCAAAGCCCAAGCAATTCGCCCCCCCACAAGCAGGAGCAGCCGGCGGTGAGGAGCAGAGCATAGCAGATCCGGGATTTCTGCAGCAGAGGGGAAGATTTCAAGGCTCAAATCTGGTTTTTGGACAAGAAAGAAAGGCCAAAATCGAGTTTCCTACCGGTTTTTCTCAAGGGAGGGCTGTTATCGGGCTTGCTTCTTGTTCGGCTGCAGAGGGGGGTCGGGAAGAGCAGAATCGGGCTGAGGAGGAAGAAAAGAAAGAAAGAAAAAGAAAAAGAAAAGAAGTTTATCCTTATCCAAAAATCATTTCACTTTTAAGTCCCTCAACTTTCAGAATATTCACATTAGACCCCAAAACAATCTTTTCTCACAATTAAGTCCCTAACTTACTTATTTATTCTAAAAATTTTTGGGATATTACAACTTTGGAATGCGTGTTCAACTATTATTTCTTTATTTCTGTATCTCTATTTTTCTTTTCTTAATAATCCCAATTCCCTCAGTTTACAAACAACTCATCAAAAAATTTATCTTGTCATCTATATTGTCACTTATGTCAACTCCAGTTATATATATATAAATTGGATGAATGCATTAAAATTGAAACATTAAATGTACAAACATATATAATATTATAAATAAATTATTCAAAATAAAAGTTAATTATTAATGATATATGCACTTGAGCCTTCAGACCAATAACATCAGGTCATGTATAAGTGCATTCCTTCATCTCTGACAACAGTTCGAATTCGGTCACTTACAAATTTCTTCAAAAAAATTTGTTAATGATATATTATAATTATAAATAAAATATCATTTTTTAATCAGTACTACCGTACTCTATCAGTATCGCAGCCCTTAATTTTGT